AAATTACCTGCATTTGATACTTTGGCGCTATATTTACTAAACTTTGGAACTATTCGTTCACAAAGCGCTTTAATGTCGTATTTCCCAACCTTTTTCAAAATATAATCTAATGTTTTTAAAGTTGCTTGTCTATAATTATTGTTAAAAATTGCAAAAATAAAATTCTAATAGTATTGCTTGATCCTGGGGCCACTGAAAACAAAGTTGGTTCTAAGCATCACCAACATATTTCCATAATTATTCTTAAAACATCATTGTATAACTCTCACAGATCTTTGATCATTCTCTTTGTCAAATAAGCCATCTTTCTGAACTGACTGTGGATATTTTTGTAAAACTTGTTTTCAAAATACAGTAAACCTTCGATAGTTTGACACGGGCTGAGCTATTTTGTCAAGTGATATTTAATGGTTACTATTGTGATGTAAACTGACTTTAACATTAATTTGTCATTTATTGTTAACTTGAGTCTAATGAACAGTGAAATTGTTAAGCTTTTTAGTATTTAATAAATTTGGGTGGTTTCTACATAGGCTTAAAACTTGTGTTTTTACTTTCCTGTATATTAAACTCCATTTACTCCCAATAGTTCGACACCCCTTCAGTCCACTAAGTGAAGCTCGACACTTAGTGGACTGAAGGGGTGTCGAACTATCGAGGTTCTACTGTAATGAGTTGGGTTGTTTATGGGATTGTCTGTGAAGATGCTTCTACCCTGATCAATAAAGTCAAACGGGTATTATGATTGGGTTCTGTTTTTCATTTTTTCTGGTTTGCATCTTACTATTAAGTAAAGTAGCTTAATAAGCGTCCAGTATTTTTTATTATTGTTTTCACTTTTATTTTCAAGCTAGTTGCAAATGTTTACAAACAAATATGCTATACTTCGTTGACAGCTTTAAGTTGTAGACATTTATAGACTTATAGACACATGTAGAATAATGTCTACAACTTGGAACTGCTAAAGACAGATATTTGGCCTATTAATTATTTCCAATCTTTGACTATAGATAGAACTAGACATTCCATCTCCATGTTAAAGTTGTCACTTTTTTTCTCAAAATGAACATTTTTTAACTAAGCCACCGACAAATTTCGCTGATGTAAATTACCGATTTCTGCTGAAAATTCAAACTGATAGGACGACTTTTTGTAAGCTATAGGATCTTTTTTGTCACACCAATAATCTCAGTAAAAAAATAGGGTAGAAAATAAGAAGTTCACACACTAGCACTCTTAGTGACTTTATCCAAAAGTCAAAGATTCTACACAATTTCGGTGCTAATTCAATGAATTGAATGAATCAAGTTTCTCATCACTGTACGTGTTCTTTCAGGTATAGCGGCAAGACGCAAAAGCAGATCGTAGAGTTTGTCAGAGAGAACTACGTCAAGAGACAGACATTCCAAAGGTGAGCGGTTGTCTAGAACTACTGCATGTAATATCAGATTCCCGCACGGTCGCTACACAAGTAGCGGCCGCTCGTTTGCTCCCCTCCCCACCTGTAAATGTCGCTCTTTACGCTCCAAAACTGTTGTGTCCGTGTGTTCTTGTAGCCTTTGTGTTTCTACGCCGCTCTTCGTGTTTGTATTCTGCTTATTTCAGGATATTTTACCCTTATGTCATGATTGTTCCTATATACATTGTGGATGAAGCAGTTTTGCAGTTTACCCATTGCAGTGCCGAACAATAAATGTCCCCTTTCATGGTCCAGGTTTGTTATTTTTTATGTATTGTAATCTTGTAAACTTTGAATCTGTTATGAATTTAGATGTTGCATTTGTTTTTAAAGTTTTTGCAAAGTTATTTATACATGTCGACTTAATAATTTAAACAGATGTGTAGACAGTAACAGATATTTCAAATACATATTTAATAATTTTGATTTTTTATAGTAATTTTGATAATTAACAACTGTGTTTAGCATTATAATCTCTAGTATCTAAGATATATTAAAATTATAGCAAAGCATTTAAAAGATTGAGAAACCAATATTTTTCATTTAGTTAAAAGAGTTATTATGCAATTTACTCTAACTTATTTGTGGCATTTCGTTAAGTTTTGGTTCTTTAGGAAATTAATATAGTAGAGCTTTGAAGGAAAGCTACAGTACTTACCTAATGAACCCCTTATCATGCAATGAATGAATCCTCATTACTGAACGTTATGTAGGTTAACCAGGTCTTGTACAAGGTGTTTTTATAAATACTGTGTTAAAGTGTAAGCAAGCATTTATAAAAAAAATGAGTAATTGTAATGTCTGTGATTAATTAGCATTTAATGGTTACACACATCTTTTTGAATGCTGAAAAGATAGTTGATGTAGGGAGGAGGAAAAGGTGAAATGTGCCAATAGAAGTTTTTTTTTCAAACTCCAAAGATCAAAACAGAAATTCTTAAAGGCCAATTGTGCATTCCTCCTTTATGACAGATTATTGGTCATAAAAACTTAAAAGAAGACAGTTACCACTTTTTTCAGTAAAAAGTGTCTTCCACCAAACCAGCTAATAATTTAGCTTTTTGTATTATATTTTTGTCTTTTAAAATTTAGAAAAGTACATAATTTTCCTAGCTTTACTTATTTTAGTTTTAATGTATGAACCTATCAGATATACCTATTTTATATTGTTTGATGTGTTATTGCTATACATAAATAAATTATTACTGAAGTAAATGATTTTAAAAATAAATAAATAATGTGTGATTAAGTTTTAGTCCAATTCAGTAATCTTTGGATGATTTGGCTTTATTTTGTAACAACAAAACAGTACTCTAAAACACTCTACGATAGGCAACAATATTAATTAATTAGAATGAGAAGATATTTTTGATTGAACGTTTTAAAATAACGGCTTTTAGCATATTACAGCATGTTACAGTATTTATTAAATATTACAAAACTCAATTTTTATGACGTGTGAACCTATGAAGTAATATAATTACAATTCTGGATCTAGTTATGAAATTATATGATTATCTGCTATAAATATTTTTTATAAATTCTCCCTTTTAACATAATCATTCCAATACCATCAGTTGACAGTAAATACATCTTCAGAATTTTACGTGTTATATAGGTAAAGTTATACATTCATCATTTTTCAATTTTACAATAGTAGGACACACCTAATTTTATTCATACAAATGAATTCATGTATTTCACACACTCTAAGGTGTAGTGTAACCAGGAAATTTTGTAGCCAAAATTAATAATTAATAATCTTTACTACACATTAAAGATCCCAAAAAATGGTACAAAACAAAAACACACTTGAATTCCAATTAAAATCCTATAAGCCATAGTACACTTTGTAGACAAAAAAAATACAAAACACGCAATATTTGTTTCCCTTGGCAACCTTGCGTGCTGATACACTGGTAATGGTAATACAGTGCTGTGTTTCTTTATAAATTTATTTATGTATTTATGTTATTCAATGTGATCTGGCCTATCTGTTTTTTATTTTGATTTCTCAACTAAGCTAGCTGCTTCCCCCCTGATTCCTAAAAATCAAAATCCTGTTCTAGCTCATATATCCTTCAACAAAACTAAAAATTGTATAGTGTATTTTTTAAACCATATGTTTGAATAACAATCACAAACATAACACTGCTAGAAAATGACCAGCAAGTAATACCAATGATAAAACCACTCACTAAACAAACAACAATTTAAACTAGCAATAAACACATAACTAAAACATAACATGGCGGTTTACACAGTAAAAACCAATTGTGTTAATTTCGATGATAAAATTATGTAAAGCAATTTAAATAATTTAGAAAATTTAAACTAGCAATAAAAACGTAACTAAAACGTAAAATTGGTGGTTTACAGGTCTCAATCATTCCGGCACTCTTCTTCAGTTCACTCGTCGGTGGCTACAAACGTAGGGGGGAGTATTTCAGCCCACCCCCTCCTACCCCTAGGAGACAGTTCCATCGGTATGTTGCCTGCATGCTAGCTCTCTCCCTCTATTCTCTCTTTCTTACTACTTCTCTCTCTCTCTCTATCATTCTCTCTTTCTCACCCCGTCTGTATTGCACCCTTGTGGGAATCTGATGTATTCTAGCTTTCTTTTTGTATTTTTCAGATGCATTGCGACCTTTGAAATTCATAACTGTAGAAACATTTTAAGGGAATAGAGCAAAAGTTGGACGGAGTTTAATTTCTCGCTGTACATATTTAGCTTGGCTAAAGAAAAAGCTGCTTACTTTTATATGTAATTCTTAAAATGGGACAAAAATATTTATTGTGAACGCAATGGCAATGAACAATTAAATTATATCGTACAATCAAAAATGCGTCCATAATGTCAAGGAAGGCTGCATGGCATAGTGTTTTTGGAACAACATCTTTGCAGGGATTAGACGCCATGCTGTTTGGGTATTTTGTCTTATAACTTTAACTTTTTAAAAAAATGAACCTGTTAGCGGTTTTTAACAAGAATCAACGTATTTAAAAGTATGTTTCTAAATTGCTGACTCTTATTTCAATCATTGTATTTGTTAACAAACTTGATATGCATGATATTAACAATGGCAATTTAATAATCTCATTTCTCTTTGGTATTTTTATGGAAGAATTGTTTAACTCTTTGTGTTTTTATATCAATGTCTAGTATTCATTTGTGTTCAACTAATTGAGGGGAGCAAGCTGGTCTAGGGGGAGAGCTTGGGACTTCGGTCTCAGGTTCAAATCCTGCCAATCACCTATGGATTTTATCTAGTGATGCCATAACCTTATCTAGGCCTAGCCTAAAATAATGTTTAAAATAATCCCGGGCTAAAAATAATTCTTTTTGATGCATTTATGTGTGTTTTGCAGTGTCCCTGTCATGCGGCTCGATGAGTCTAGCGGGGGTGGGCCCGGCGGGTTCTCAGAGCCCGATTGTTCGCCGCCAGCAACAGACGACCAATCAACAGACGACGACAGCGATTGCGGAGCGTACAGCTATCGACAGCCGCGCTACGTTTACACCAGGTCAGCCTTACACTAGTTCGCCCCAGTCCAGCTTGACCGAGTCGTTCTGTCGCCACTGCGGGGAGGGCTTCGACTCCCTCCCTTCGTCTCGTAGAAGTTCTACACGCGCATACAAGGAAAACCGATCCAGTCAGACGGACATCGTGGATATCGAAGACTTTGAGGAACCGGTCACTGTGGACAAACGGTATACGCTGCAACGGTCGGCCAGTTGCAAAGAGTTGATAGGGGAAAAAACAAGACCCATGGAAGTTAAAATTGAACGAACCGACGCGCCGGTGACACGGTACGATGAAATGCAAAGGTCTTGTTATAGTATTGCCGGAAGTAAGACTCCGTCTTTGGATCGCAGTGGAGTTGAGCCGGTCGAGACCAAAGTGTACTCTAGCAGCTATCCCGGTACCACGAGTAGTTTGTCCACCGAAAGCGGAGGAAACGAAGAAGGAGTTTTGGAGCCTGGAGGGAGTGTTTTAGTCATTGATACTGGAAGTTCGAGAGAGGAAATGATACTGAGTCATGACGATTTAAGCCATGACTCTTACGAGCTTTTAGAACGAGAAGATTTATATGCTGAATCACGGTCTTGTAGTATCGACTCTACCGGAGATCAGATGCTTGACGATGAAATGTTTGTGATGGACGATGACTTTAGTGGACACAACGGATCAGGTGAAGTAGAGAAGAGATTGGGCTATGTGGAACCTCGATTCGGTGATCTGGATTTCAAGGAGTTCAATGAAAAGTGCAAGCAAGGATTCGCCTATAGAAGAGCGGTCGAGTTTGGTGAATTTGACGCAAAGTGCAAACCTGGAATGGTAATAGGCTTTGATGATGAAATTAATCAGGGTAGTTTGATGCACTACCCAGTTGAAAGAACCAAAAGTGATCCTTACGTCAGTGATTTCTGGAGAGTTGCGAGACAGCACCGTGCAAGATTGTTGCACCAGAAGTCAATAGATCTAACTCCTACTGAACCGTCTATTGACCCTTCATCTTATCTAGGTGATGATATGAAAAGTAGTTCCCTTGATATACCTTGTGGTAGTAAAAGTGCAGTGGATATTCCTTACACGCTGCACAAGCGACACCATATGAATGGGACTGAAAGTATCTCTCCTCTACTTCTGTCACCTCACAAACTGAGTCCAATTTCAGGAAGGAGGTCCCCAGTTAAATTGCCAGGAACTGCCCCAAAAGACATTTCAAAACCAAAAAAGACACCGGTTGATCTAGACCCTCTTACAAAAACTAAAAGCAAACCTGATCTGAATTCCCAAGATTCAGGCCTGTCTTTGTCTGTGGGAACTGAGAGTGCAGATGACTTGCATGACGTTCTTTTAAAAAATGTAGCAAACTTTGACCAAACCAAAGACGTAGAGGAAGACATTCAGTTGAAACAAGCGGTAGATGAAATAATATCAGAATCTCTTGCAGCCCGGAGAAAGGCAGAAAAATTAGAGTTAGAAAAAGAAAAAGTTCCTAAAATGGTAAGTAGAGAAGTGTCTACAGAGAATGAAGTTAATACTAATCTATTGCAAGTTCCAGACGATACAGTGCTGAGGCCTAAAACAAACAAAAAAGAATTTGTAAAAGGAAAGAGTGAAGACACAAAGTCTAAGAAAGGTTCTTTAAGCAAGTCTAGACAAGTTCACAGTGCAGATGGGGGTTTACGAAAAGATTCTTCTTTTGAAAAGAGAGATTCAGCTGTAAAAGTTATAAAAATTGACAGTGATGACGGATTGTGCCATTGTGATAAAAAAGACAGATTGAAAAGTTCATCATTAGACAGTTCAGATCCGGATGTTATTATTGTAGAATATAGAGGAAACAGGAAGAGGGCATTTCAAAAAAGAAGTTCTTCTGGAAGTAAAGGTTCTAAAGATTCAGTTGATAAAGATATTAAAAGGAGTTCTAGCTTGGATGCCCCAAAAGATGGTAAAGACAAGAAGGATTCAAAATCGGAAAAGGGAAAAGATGGAAGACTAATTCGAAGTAAATCTGATGGTAAAGACGACAAGAAAAAAACAAAACCTGATCAAAAGAAACCTATAAGAAAGGATGAACCAAAATTTGAGAAGAATGAAATTCAGGTTGAAGTTGAGATTGAAACCAATAGAAGAAGTAATCCAACCAATGATTCATCAAAGCCTGTTGATATAAATAAACCTAAAATACCAGTAAAACCACAAATACCTACCAAACCACTGAAACTAACGTCAGGAGAGTCAAAAGTACAATCAGCTAATGAGAAGCCACTGAAAACACCAGACAAGCCTCCGAGATCATTTGATAAACCAGTAGTTCCTGATAAACCACAAAAGCTTCCTGATAAACCTAAGGAATTTCAATCAAATAATGTTGAAAAACCTAAAGCTGATGACAAAACATTGCAAACCAACGAAAGGAAGGAGAAGATTCCGAGCCCAAATACTGATGCAGCTCTTAAATCTGCTAATAATTCTGGATTAAGTAACAGGGATTTTAAAGACCTCAATTTAAAGCAGAAAGATGAAAAACCCGACACTAAAAAAACTATTACATCTCCTGATACTTCTTGGAAGAAGTTTGGAGACCTTCCTGCTCCGATATCACATAAAAGAGAGAGGTCGCCTGTACTGTTTGCGAGGCTTGGTTTATCTGAGGGTTCTGCTTACTCTCCAACCCATAGACAGTCTTCTGTGACATCTCCGTCGTCATCGAGAAGATGTAAATCTTTAGACGCTCCAGTTGTATCTTTACACCGTCTTCCTCCAGTCACATCTTTCTCTAGCAAAGACGACACTCTTGATAATGAGGAAGATGTTGAGCTTGAAGAAAAAGCTCTGCGTACATATAAGTCCGGCAAAGGCAGTAATGTGTGTCTTCAAGATTCTATAATAGAAGAAAGAAGTCCAGAAGGTAAGGAAACTCCAGACGATGAGAGACAAAATGAACCACCCAGTGAGTCAAATTTTAAAGTACCAAACCTTGAAAAACTTGAGGGCGGAGAGCTAAGTAAGGAGATAAAGACACAAGGAAAAAATCAAGATGATATTACAGTGACTTTGGAAAAATTAGATGAAGTTGTCGACAGGGTAAAGGCCGGCGACAGTCTTCAGGAGGAAAATCTTTTACCTACCAATACAGTTCAAAGTGGCCACAGTAAGGTCTCACTGCCTCCATTGTCTCCCATCACCGATAGAGCTTGTTCTCCCATTATGGATTTGCCTCCATCCCCATTTAAAAGTCCTATGTCTCCTTCTTCAAGGACACCAGGAGCCTTATCTCCTGCTCCACTTTCTCCTTCACCCTTATCACCCACTCCGTCCTCTCCTAAACCACCTCTTTCTCCGACTATAATAGAACCTCCCATGTCACCATCGGCCGAGAGAAGACCCAGCACTCGTCAAGAAAGGTTGGATTCGTTCAAAAACACAAAAAGTTACTCTGTCGATATTTGGACTTCTGATGAAGGTGAAAATCAGCCTGTTCCAACCATGGAGATAGAAGATATAGATTTTACTTCTAAAGATTATGAAGATGAGACTTTCATTATAGAAAAGGAAGACGAACCTGATGTTAGTAGTACAAAAGTGGAAGATGTAAAACTAGTTGAAAGTGGAGGAAGTGATATAATGGAGGATCACCAAGAGTCGCCCAAACATGCAGCAGAGGTGGTTTCTACAACAGAAGATGAATGTTGGGTGTCTGTTGAGGATATTAGACAAATAGGCGAAGATTCAGAACCTGGAGAGGTGAAAAGTAGCGATAACCAAGACAATGAAGATAAGACTGATAGAAGTGATTCTTTGAAAGTAGAGTTGGACGAGAATACAGATGTGTCTAAAGTACTTATTGTGAAAGATTCGGAAAAACTTGAAAGAACAATAAAGGATTTTATGGAAGTTATTGAGCCGTTAGAAGAACCATCGACTTCTGGCATTAGAATGATACCTGAGAAAAGGAGTTTTGACGATGAACCGTCCAGTTCATCGTCTATTAAGCAGGTTGAATTGTCATCCACATGGAAGCCTTTCCCTCTGGAAAGTTCAGGAAGTTCAAGCCTCGAAGAAGCGATATTTCCTCCTGATGATACAGGGCATTACGCTGATGAGGAGGAAGGTTCAAGTCATTCCAATGGTCAGGATGATTTCCCCTCAGGGTTTGGATACTCGATGACGGGTGCTGAGATGATTATAAGTGGGTACACTGGTGGTATGTTTGGCTTGTCTAGAACACTTTCTCGAATCAGTGAAAGAAGTACTACATCAGAGCAGGAGCGATCGGACTTTGAAGACGATATTTCAACAAAGCCCTCATCGCGATCTCTGTCAGTTGACGACGAATCTTTACTCTCTAGCGATCGGCAACCAAGTCTCTCATCTGACCCTCCTTCAGGCCCCAACCCAGAGGACCAACCTCTGCCTGACTTGCCTCCTTTACCCAAAGAACCTGATGATGTAGAAGAAGATGACACTCTTGAAGGAAAACTCGGTTTTAAAATTCCTCCGCCTTTATTGCCAGTCGGTGAAGACGAGTGGCCTTCTCCTCCGAACTCATCACCCTTTGATACACCAGTTGTTAGCCACGTTGAAACATTTTACATGGAAATAAAACCCGAAGAAGCTACCAAAGTAGTTGTAGACTCAGCGGAGATGGACAATGAAGCTGAGGCCGAGAGTGATACTGATGAAAATAAAACACTTCAAGAAGAATTCACAGGATTCGATGAATCTTCAGTACAGGACGAAACAACTGTTAAATTGGCAAAAAGGCCAAAAACTTCTTCGGGGATGTACGCTAACTCTGCTAGTGAAGATACTTCCGTCGGAGTTTCTGATTTCTCTAGCAGCACAAGCACTGTAAAACATTGTCAGTATTACTCGTGCGCTGTGAAATCAGACGATAGTTCCCTTGCAGGTGATTTTGGGTTGTCTCTTTCAACCGAGATGTTGTCTAGTCGCAAAAGTTCGGCAGATTCCGTCGACACATTTCAACAAAAAAGAGGATCTGGGATCTTCAAAGTGAGTCAAAGGTCGTTTGACGATTACGATTCACCTTACAGTGAGTCAGACGATGGACAGTCCAAACCCCCACCTAAGCAGCGAATGGCACATCACACGTACTACTCCAACGTATCCAGCCCTACAAGCACAACAGCTCCTAAACAAAAAGTAGAACGCTCAAAATTCTCTCGGTCGGGTTTAAAGACGCCTTACTATTCCACACCTACACCTGTCAGCCACGAACATCGAGACGTATCTGAACTCTTGGAAAGAAGAGATCGAGATCGGGAACGCAGTTCAAAATCTATAGCTCGTTCAAAATGTTATTCCTACTATTCGTTAGCGAGAAGTCCACCTAGTGACGGTTCCTCTTCGTCTTTGGATAATCCCGAACCCCCTTCAACACCAAACACCATCCCTCGTGTGTCGAAGCGCAAACGACACATTCCTCCTGCCAAGCGTAGACACAGAGTTTCTGTAGACATGGAGGTGAGGGATGGTCACATTGTGTCTGTGTCGAGCCCATCGGTCGTGGCTTGCGGCAGAAACAGACATCCGAACTCATCGCACAGAGATCTGCAAGTGATAGATCCAGCGAGACAGCACTCCTCCAACCTATCAAAGCAATCGTCAGTCTAGTGGGTCGGAAAGGTGCTAATACCTCAGTACCTTATTCTAATAAATAACGGTTGATAATAAACCGCGTCTCGTTTGTCACCGTGATAGTTTAATCCCTTCTCGTTGTTTTCTTTATACTTTTGTATTCATTCATAGGTTATAGTCATATTGATTATAAATAATCTATCGATCCGTTATTACCCGTATACACGGAGAAGTGACCAAGTGAATCGACTACTCTATTATCGTATTTCCAGTGTGTTGTTACGAATAAGGCTGTGTCATTTTATTATAAGTCTTATGTTTACGATCATCGTTAATGTATAGATAGTCTTAGTGGAATTTAGATTACGATACGGGATAGGGTGATTCTCCTTATTTGATCTTCCAAATCACAATTTGTTGTAAAGGATGAACTATCAGGGGCCGAACTCTTTCAATTACATTTTGCTCAATTAATTATACAGTTGCTTCTCCATCAGTGTCACATTCACACACTCAGAAGCCATATTGGTTTTGCAACTTATGACAAGTGTAATGTGATTGAAATACCACTGGCGTTTATTAAAAAAAAATGCATTTGTTAATTGTATATGCTAATGATAATTAATTATTAAACACTGATTGCTTGTGAAAATAGTCTAGTAGTTTTATAACGTAACAAAATTTTATATTATTAATCATAAAATGTCCTTTATATTCTAAACTCATCTAAATGAAAAGGTAAAAGTTTGTTTACTCTATGAATAAATATTTTACATAAAATATAATTAACGATCTAACAAATAATTTTCATTGTCTATTACTGAAGTCACATTATATTTCAGAATAATATTAATCCTGTTGTTTGCACTGGAAATTTGATCTTGGACAAATATGAATCACGTTACCCTCGTAACATTGTTGAAATATCTCATTCTTAAAAATATATATGTGTAGATTTTGGAAGGTTAACACGCATTTCATCACTGAATTATTTAGATTTTGTAAATGAACTGCAATATACATCTCAGGGCATAACAGGAATAACAATTGTGCATTGACATTAAATTTTCATAAGTGTAAAATCCCTCTACAGTGATTTTAAAAATATATTGGTGGTATGGAAACAATTTGTTTCAAACCATATAAATCTTAGTATCTGAAACCCAATGAAAGAAGAAATACTCTTCTTGACAGATTCATATTCTTTTGTTTCTTATATTTCATTAAAAATACAGTTTCTTTATCAAAAATAAAAATAATCCAATATTGAAATTTCCTGATTTTTAAAGGTTTTGAAGGTACCAAACCCTTATAAAGATGGTTATAATTGAAAATAAAAATCCATACTTTAGTTTAAAGCAAGCTTTAGAAACTATCTTTGATTCTTCTTAATATATCATGGAATGCGTAAGACTACTATCCAAATGATGACATATGGTTTATGTAAAATAAATATATTTTTATCGACAATCACATGTTCTTTTTTAATAGGCTGTTTTCAATTTACATGTCTACTTTTATGTCAGACGGCTTCATAATTTATTAATGAACACTCGATTTAATAATTAATTTGGTTGTCTAAATGACTGATTAAAATATAATTTAAGACTGATTGAATTTTGTTTACTGTCAAATTTTGTTATTAACAAATAGCCAAGAAGAACTGGAAAAGGTGTGTGTTTAATAAAGTACCAAAGTTATAACACTATCGGTATATTTTATTTAGGATTATTTGTGCTGAAAGCCACATTGTAAAACATGCTAACTTTATCCTCGTGATATTAATATTTATCCTCGTGGGATTATTAGTGATAACTTATGTTAATTCTACAATTTTCTCATGCCTTTTCTAGTTCTTCGGCGGTTGGCGGTTAGCATTTAATGGTTTTTAAAACGTCAAAACCAAAATCGTAACTGGTAGAATGGTGCCAAAGAATGATACTCGACTTGATAGTTGGAACATTCCCATAATTTAGACTTTAATAAAATTGTAAAAGTATATAACATGTAGATAGAAAAATAACTAAACTAAACTAATTTAATTGAAGTTGTAACCCCACATTGGAATGGGTTAGGAGAACCCATAACGCATGCTGGGTGACCCATTTTCTAGTCGGTAGGCCTAAAGACAACTCTTTCATATTTTTTTTCCTCTGGAATTGTACAGTTTTTTGCAGGAAATTCAACCTATTAATATCCTTGTGATGGGTTTGTGTACGTTTACATATTTTACAAAGTAGAATTTTTTAATAGATTTTTTACTAAGTAGTGTTTATTTTGTACTAACTTTATAAGTACTTAAGGAGTGATTTTTTAACATTCCGTAAGAGTAAATTATCTTTTTGTAAATGTTTAGTTCAATTCTCTACAGTTTTTAGTAACCGTAGGAAGCAATGCAAAAGACTGGACGATTCCTTGTACATAAACGGGATAATCAAAGAAATGCTAAGGCTTCAATGCTCAATATAGGCTAGATCTGACTGTTAATTTGTAACGTTCATGTTCTGTGGACTCACTCTTGGCCCTTGTGTTTAGTCTAATTAAGACAAATTGCCAATTACGTGGCGGTAAATATTATTTTCCTACGGTTATCTCAAATCGCGGCTGTTTTCTATTGGTTATAACCTTGCAAAGTAGCTGATTCCCAATTACTTTTTTATCAGCACTCCAAATTTCCAACCTAAGAACATAAAATAGTATGTAGCCAGGTGAGATTTTGGGTCGCCGGAATTCTACCCCCGGATATTTACCCCCATGAAAAAACGCCTACGTCATTTTGACGTCACGAGGGGCGGGGCCTATACACGGTCGAGAAACAGCCCGCGACTGGAAATCTACCCCCGGACAACTACCCCCGGACATCTACCCCCGGACATCTACCCCCGGACATCTACCCCCGGACATCTACCCCCAGACATCCACCCCCGGACATCTACCCCCGGAAATCTACCCCCCTTGGTCAGCTCTGCCACGTATCGGCCAATATTCATTGTTGTAATTGATTTGATTAATTGCTTTATGTAAATCAACGGCTCTTCGGTTAGTCATTACCCTCTAATATCTAGTATTAAGCATGTGATATGTCATTGTCTTGTTTAACATTATCTATCTTCCTAATGAAATAAGCTGTAACGGCCATTTTGCACCCGAACTACTTCACCAATTTTTACGATTGAGGTGCAATTTTAAATCTTAAGATGCAGCGCAACGCGAAATGGTAATTAAAACGATATTTTGATAAAGGGCTTCAAAAGTTTGACCCTTAATCATTTGATTTATTTATTAAATATGCAAACCTGTAGAAAACACAAACTTTTGAGAAAATTGAATTTAAAAGTTAAAAATATTTAGCATAGGGCCTTATGAGTTGCCATGCTGGTTACAAACAATAACAAAGAAAAAGAAAATAAGGAATAATATTTGCTGGTAAGCCATTTCATACTGTTTTGGCATGTTACAAATAAAGTGTAATTGAAGTTACCTTAATACAATTGATTACAAATTGTTCATGGAATAAACTATGCTTTATTTCAAAAATCCAAACGGATAAATCTGATTTTCCCCCGAGCACCGCTCGGTCAACCATATATTAACATATAATGTAGGATGGGGCATCTATTGTAGCCACTAATAGAATTCAAGATACAACTCATGCGTTCAATGATCAGTATGGAACATAATTAAAACTTCTAGGCGAAATGCTGGAAGAACGAATTACATTTTCTTACCGTGAAGTACTCAGTAACCTTTCCCGGGAGGCAGCGCAGATGTTCAAATAGTTTCAACCACCGGCATTCCGAAACGGACCTGATAGCATTTCCCGTTCTTCGTAGGATTGTTGTTGATAGGTTTATGAAGTATTCTAATTTTTTAAAGGGTTTGTCTGTCTACCTGATTGACACAACATGTTCTTCGTACAAGTGAATACCCTTTCTGAGATTTTTTTCTCAGAAGTTTCGATAAAACGTTTTTTAACCCTTTTCTGCGACAAAATACTTGTAACCGTTTGCAATATTTTAAAACAATTACAGTTTTGATATTCGTCAAAATAAATTTGATTTTTGTTTTTATGTGCGCCTAAAATAAATGTACGTGTTTTAAATTTTATACCATGATAGTGCATGTAATAAATTAAAAACCTTTACGCATTGCATGGAAAGCTTAACATTGTACAACAAGCCATTTCAATCAACAGTGATGTACTGTATAAACAAAATCATAAACATTTACCCATGCTAGGTGCAACTTTGTTAACTAGGATTGCTTTCATGGTAGTGAAAGCCAGTTGAGTGGAGAAATCACGTTTCATGGTTTTTAATAAAGCAATAAATAAACAAATTTTTATAGATATAATACAAAATACAACTATTTCATCAATTTAACTTATCATTTTCGCTCACAGCTATCAACATCTATAACAAGTTTCATAAGTACCACGGGGGTAGATTTCGGGGGGTATATGTCCGGGGGTAGATGTCTGGGGGTAGATGTCCGGGGGTAGATGTCCGGGGGTAGATTTCCAGTCGCGGGCTGTTTCTCGACAGTGTATAGGCCCCGCCCCTCGTGACGTCAAAATGACGTAGGCGTTTTTTCATGGGGGTAAATATCCGGGGGTAGAAATCCGCTACCCCGAGATTTTCACATGTGATGATAAGTTGGGTTGTAATTACTTGTAGCCTACAATCCGCTCTTGCACTGTTTTGTTTATGTTGTGAATAAGATGGAGTAATAATTGATGGTTGTTTAGGCCTAATATAAGACATTGAGTAATTTTTAGTTTTGGTCAGATAAATACAAATGATGATTGTGAATGGGGCTATAGGAACACATCAAATGGGTTGACATAAATAGCCTTTTTTTAACTTACTCCCAGTTAAATCAAAACAAAAATGTTAATGCAAGTAAGAACGTTTTTCTTATTGGTGTGTCAGTTAGAAAAATCAATCAAAAATTAATTAGACTTAAGGAACAAACACTCGAGAAACAATTTGTCAAAAACTAAACTAGTCTACACAAAGTAGAAAAGTCAAAGAGAAAACTTTATTTTGCAAGGCAAGTGGACTAGTTTCAAATGTGATTCTACTATAATTATTTACTCACAGCTTATCATCGGTTTCATATATATCTTTTTGCTTGTTACAGAGTATATATTGTACCGTGTCCTAAATAAAGTTACTTAACTGTACTTAAAGTTCAGCATCAGTGAAGTCGATCAGCTATATCACAACAATATAAGTGCCCAGAGTTACAATTGAATTATCAGAACTTTTTGAGATTTATTAATTAGATCACACGATTGTCTGAATTAGCCGCGATTTGAATACAACCAAGTGTTGAAGCCTAACAATTAGTATTTTTTATTGACATAGTCAAGGGTGAGTTCACTTTTTTAATGATTCTCAAGTTATTAAAATAACACCATTTACTACGGACACCCTCAACAACCTGTGTTCACTTATTTGTCTCATACAAAATAACATTTTGATTTTAGTTAAGTGTTTACGTTTAATTTCTTAGATCCAAAGATATTTGGGCAATAGAACTGCTGAAATCTTTCAGTTGGAATTCGCAAACCGAATTTCCAAGAGACTTTTTTAAGTGAGCACTGGCTGCTCTAACGGCAACGACCCTATTAACTGATATATCGTGTACAGTATTAAATTAGAATGTATTTATTACTTTGTTGTGTTTTAGGTTGATATGAAATTTTTATGGACTAAGATGTTATTTCTATTGTTTACTTTAATTGTGTTTCCTTTTTAATAAATGTTTATATTCGATCCTCGTGATTAAAAACAAGTTTTCTAGTGATTGCAGTTTTCTTGGTCCCTCGTTTTGATGAGTACTAACTGTGAAATTTGTGTGAAACAAATGGTTCATCTAAGTTTTGGCATTTACCATACACATCTACTAGATTTCCTATGCAATGTTATAATGCAGTTATTTTAGAAAATTGTGGGAAATGCTTTGTTAAAACATTTATTATACAGCAGCTTAGACAAAAAAGCTTCCATACATTTACACATATTGTGCTTCCTGTCGTAATAGTGTACCTAGGTGCTAAACAGAGAGTAATTCAAATGGTTCACTAAAACTACTTCCTCACATTGTCAAGTTTGCTTCAAACTTTGTTTGCAACTCATATGCATTGAGGCTTGTATCAAGTAGTTTTGTTAGTCACAGGTTTAACAAAATTTTGAAATCAAAATAATGTCATTGTCATTCTTGTTCTGTTATTATGTTGTTTATTTTAAATCACCTTACTTTACCTTACCTAGTTGGCCTCTCAAAAAAAAGTAGGTCAACAGCTTTTCGCCATCTTTCTCGGTCTTCCATCTAGTTCTTCCGTAACATTCATTCTTCTCATGTATTTTCAGACTTATTTTAAATCACAGTAAAAGTAATTGTTATGCTGTTATATTTGGAGTATACGATATTGTGTCACTCACGTCTTTGGTTGAAAGGTGCTATTTTTTCTTTGAATACTTTTCT